CAACCTTGAGCCTGGTGAGATTAGAACCGCTGAACTGCAGATAACAGTCAGCTGAAGTGGCCTGCAGTGCTGCACCCTAACCACTGCGCCACCTCTCTCACCTTGGAGAGAGAATGCCAGGGGCAATTCTTGCTTTATAACAGTCCATTCAGTGACTGTTCAAAAATTGCAACGGCATCTAAAAAAAGGGACGTAGGACCATTTTTCACACAACCGTTGCATCATCTCCATGGCCACGCGATCGAAATTTGAACAAGCTGACTCGCATTTATGACGGTTGCCGTGTCCTAGGGCCATGTGATTCCCCTCTTGAGACCTTCCAACAAGCCACAATCAACGGAGAAAACCAGATTCATTTAACGACGGTGCTACAAACGTAACTGCATTGCTTTCATTTAACAACAGTGGGGGGGGGAGAGGTCGTAAAACAGGGCAGAACTCACTTAACGACCTTCCTGCTTAGCAACGGATGTTTTGGGTGTTCCATTGTGCCCGTCAGTCAAGGACAAAGTGTCCTTGCGTCCCATGGAAACACACAAGCAAAAAAACACAGGATGCCGGCATTAGCTAGAGAGTTCAGCTTTTATTTGGTTTTAAACCGGCAAGTTCCTAGTCCTTATGGCTGTGACCATAATAGAGTACAGATTTCGGAAAGGCAGGGGATTGAGTAAGAATTACAGCGTTTTAAGGGATTCCTTGCTCGGGATGGATCGGAGACGGGAGAAAGCAGCTTCCCCACCCTCTTTACAAAATTCACCAAAGCAGCATAAATTACACGAAACACGGTGGAATAAATTATTAGACAACATTAACATCCATTGTGCAAATTCGGAGGACAGGGTCCAGCTTGTTATTATTATTATTTTTAATGTTATTTTTTTTCCCCTCTCACACAACTTTCTTAATTTCCAGAGCGATTTTTTTCCTCCCAACGTCCACTTATTATTGCAAGCGGTGGATTTTGATGAGTATATCCTCCATCCAGGGCGAAAAACAGAGAGGGTTAAAACGATTTCTATGGCTGGTGCTATCATCAAATCTTTGAGTTCCTTTTTCTGGACATCCCCCTGCAGACGCCGGGAGATGGGAATAGGTTTGATCCAAGCGAGACTGAAGCAGCAATGGTTCTGTCAAGGACTCCCTCCAAGAAATTATGGGTATTGTAGTTTTTAAACAAAGGGCATTTATTTTAAGAATAGGGAGACGTGCAGCGGTCTTAATCTACATATATAAAAATGGCTGTTTGTGTGTCTATGTGTGTTCCAGCATAACTCTGGAAAGCCTCGAGCAATTTCAACCAAACTTGGTACACAGATGACTTACTCTCTGGAGACAAATACTCTGGGGGGTACGACACCCCTAAAAACCCCTTGAGGTGTGTGTTCTGTTAAGATAAGTATAATCTTTATTGTCACTGTACTTAAGCACAACGAAATTGGTTAGGGTTAGAGTTACAGCCTGTTGTGCCTTAAAATGGCTTCTACTGTGCAGTGCAATGGAGTTGCCATGGTAACGGCTTCACAGTACTCCACAAGGGGGCTCCCTCTGGTAAGGGGGAAAATCCAACATTAGAAATCACATTTGGTCCGGACATTTCCCCCCCTATAAATAAGTATCCGGGCAACGCCGGATTATCAGTTAGTAATAATTAAAAATGGGGAATAGAAAACAAAATTATATTATCAATCCCAGCTCAGTTAAGAATCTAAGAATTGGTATGGACTGATTGCTTCGTCTGTAGGGAACCTCAGCTTACAACGATTCATTTAGAGACCGTTCGAAGTTACACCACCAATGAAAAAAGTGACTCATGAACACTCCTCACACTTACAACGCTGGCAGCTTCCCCTCGGCACATGATCAAAATTCAGCTATGCTCAGCAAATGGCATATACGGTTAGTCCTCAACTTACGACCACAAATGAGCCCAAAATTTCTATTGTTGAGTGTGGCCTTTGTTCAGGGAGCATTTTAGCCTGATTTTTATGTCTTCCTTGCCACCTTGTTGTTAAAGAGAAACACTGCCCTTGTTAAGCAAGTAACCCGGTTGTTAAGTGAATCCTACGGTTTCCCATATTGACTTTTGCTTGCCAGAAGGTCACAAAAGGGTTAGTCACATCACACAGACACACACACAGGCCCAGGGCACATTGTCATAAATACAAGTCAGTCGCCATCCATGGAGATGCTGCAAAGGTCGTAACTGTGAAAAACGATCGTAAGTCACTTTTTCAGTGCTGTTGTAACCAAATGAACTGTTGTAAGTCGAGGACTACCTACATTTACAACCGTTACAGTGTGTGTTGTGAGAATCACACGATTTTCTCTTGCAAATTTCTCTTGGACAGTCATTTGTTTAATAACTGTGTGATTTACTTAAAAATTGTGAGTGGCTCGCTCAACCACTGCGGCAAAAAAAATTGTAAAATTGGGTGCGCCTCACTTAATGGCCGCCATGCAAAGCAGCGGAAGTTCTGGCCCCCCCCAACTGTGGCCGTAGGTTCTAGAATTCCCTGTGCAATCGAGGTAAAACGTCTTTTACGATTCCTTCTTCCTCAATTGTGAGATTTTGGTAAAGATTAAAAAAATAAAATCCCCTCTTAGCTGATTCTCAGTCTGTTTATTGAACGGCAGTTCCTGGTGGGAATAAGACTCGATTTGTTGGCAAGAGAGAGTTTGCCCATTAGGATGAGCTTGAAAATTGTCATCTTGACACAACACTGCCTTCGTGCACAACCTTGAAAGCAAAATTGTCCACTGTTATTTTTGGCTTCCTCCTAGGCGGATCTTTGGAATACAGAGCAGTCCTCTGTTACCTTGGGCGACCGGGGGGGGGGGGCACCGGGGGCTGTGTGACCCGGCACACTGTCACCGAGGCTGGGGAAGATGTCACATAGTCCTCTTTGGCACTGCTCGCTCGTGTGCAAATCCAATATTTGCTGCCTTCCCCCTGCCCCCCACCCCACCCCCGTTTAGTGTCCGGGCTTCCATCCCTCTGGGACGGACCCAAGGTCACACACCACCCCCCTGGAAAGGACCTGGTGTTTTGTCTGCAAAACGGTACCGAATGGGAGAGGTAGAAAAAAAAAAACATGTTTGGGAGGCGAGGGGAAAACAGCCCTCGTTGGACCAGGGACAATCCCCGTTTCTCTATTCAAATCTCTCTTGTCCCTTCTTCCCATTGGAGATAGTGCAAACAGGGCTTTTCGGCCCTTCTTATCTGCTCATCTGCGGGTTTGTCCCCAGGTCCCTGGTAGTGTTCCAGAGCTCATCATCCTGATGCAGGGATGAAGGACCTGAACCCAGAGCTCTGTGGCCTCCATCTAGCCCCCCCCTCCTCTCCCCCCTCACTCTATACCCAGCCTTTGGTTTCTCTCTTATTGTTAATCAACAATCTTGTCTCCGGAAAGAGAGAGAGAGATAATATTATCTTCTTGTTTTGCTTTTTGAACTGACTCACTGCTTTATGCAGAGCAAGCTCTCGGTATTGATCTGATTGTAATTCCTCCTCCTACAAAGAGTGCTGGACTATCTCTTGATGCCTTTGTTTGGGTGAGGGGGGGGTGAGTGTCCAGGGATAAGACCCCGGGACAATACGTAACAGGACGAGCAGGAAAACAACTTTGATTTTCGATTGCAAGACCCTTTCGTAGGTCTGTTTCCCCTTGGTCGCTTAAAACGTGAATTTAGGACACAGATATGGAAGTGGGGAAAGTCTTATCTGGATACAAAAACAAATAAACATGCATTCAGGTTGGTTGGGGTATTATTTTTTGTTTGTTCCCGTTAAACCAAATCTTAAAAGCAAACCAACCCCGCGAGAAAGCTTTGTCCTGAACTGACCCCTGGTTGGGATTGGTTGGGCCGGATCCTTTATGATGTAAGGGAGAAAAAAAGAACTCTGAATGCCCTAGGACCACTGGCCCCCTTTCCCTTAATGGGGCTGACTCTTGCCTTCAAGGGCAGGAGAATGCGGAGTCCCTGCCGGGTCGCCAAAAATGGTTGCTGTCCTTCACTCCGGCAAGGTGGCGTTTCTCGCTGCAAAGAATCGGGTGGAGAGTCAACAGCCCGCTCCCCAAAACCGTGATGGGGGGGAATCAATTGACTGGAAGTTGCTTGCCACCCTCAGTGCCTTCGGAGACCCCCTAAGTGGGGCTTTCTCTAACCATCATCTTATTTTGTTACATCACAGATTCTTCTTCTTTTTCCAACAAGGTGGCCGGCCGGTAGCCGTTGTAAAGTCCGGAGCTGTTGAGGTATTCTTCCTCTTTGCTGTAGTGTTCGGGCCCCGAAGACGCCAATGAGTTCTCCGAAAGGGACCCGTTCCGGATGTAACCTGGCAAATTCCGGTGCCCGTTGAGGGTCCCCGGGGCCGGCTTGCCGTTGAGAGGGAGTGGCACGCCTCCTTTGGCGGTGACGTTCGTGACGCTGGTGTGGGAAACCATGGGTCCGTAGCTGTATGTGGTGCTCCCACTCCGCGCCTTTCTTCGGAAGTCCAGCGCTAACGTCCACCGGCTCCAAGACTTCTTGATCTCGGCTTGGACCTGGGTAGGGGGAGGAAGGTGTGTGTGGGAGGGGAGAAGGACGGTTATTGTGGGATGGAACTGATGGGAAGTTCTGACCTTACGGAAGAGGTTCTGGAACCGCGTAAATTGGAGTTTGCAAAAAGATTTGGAGAAATCTGGATCTCGGATGGTTCCATTAGAACAAGGGTGTTCAAATTTGGGAACTTTTAAGACTTGTGGACTTCAACTCCCAGAATTCCCCAGCCAGCGAGGCTGGCTGGGGAATTCTGGGAGTTGAAGTCCACAAGTCTTAAAGTTCCCAAGTTTGGACATCCCTGCGTTAGAAGATTGTGGGAGTCCTTTTGGAAGTTGAGGGGCTTTTGAAGTCATTGGGGCGGTTCATGAGCCAACCCCAAAGCCTCTTCACAATTCCACCAATCCTGGCAGTGTATCTTCTGAGCACAGCCCCACACAACCCTTGGAAGCGCAGTCCGAATGGTTTGTGTGGCCTCATAAGGAACCGATGCGTTAATCATCTGATTTCATTGGCAAATGTCTTCATGGGACTATTGTAACGAAAGGATGCCCTTCCTCCCTCCCTCCCCTCTCTCCCTTTCTTTCCACTTTCCTTTCCTCCCTCCTTCCCCCTCTCCTCTCTCTCTCCCTCCCTTCCCCCCTCCCTCATTTCCTCCTCCCTCCCTTTCTCCCTCTCTTTCCACTTTCCTTTCTTTCCCCTCCCCTCCCTTCTCTCCTCTCCTTTCCTTCCGTTCCCTTCCAAACTTTCTTCCCCTTTCATTCTGGTTTCCCTTAATCCTTCCTCCCTCCCTTCCCCTTCCCTTTCTCCCTCTCTTTCCACTTTCCTTTCCCCTCCCCTCCCTTCCTCTCTCCTTTTCTTTCCTTTCCTTCCTTTCCCGTCCCTCTCCTTCTGGTTTCCCTTACTCCTCCCTCCGTCCCTTCCCCTTCCCTTTCTCCCTCTCTTTCCACTTTCCTTTCCTTTCCTCTCCCCTCCCTTCCTCTCTCCTTTCCTTTCCTTGCCTTCCCTTCCCTCTCCTTCTGGTTTCCCTTACTCCTCCCTCCGTGCCTTCCCCTTCCCTTTCTCCCTCTCTTTCCACTTTCCTTTCCTCTCCCCTCCTCCCTCCTTTCCTTTCCTTTCCTTTCCTTCCCCCTTCCCTCTCCTTCTGGTTTCCTTTACTCCTCCCTCTGTCCCTTCCCCTTCCCGCATTTTCTCCCCCCTTCCCTCTCTCCCTCTCTTTCCACTTTCCTGTCTCTTCCCTTCCCAACTTTCCTCCCCACCCTTCTGGTTTCCCTTACTCCTCCCTGCTTTTCTTCCTTCCTTCCTTCCCTCCTTCCCTCCCTCCCTTTGTTCTTCCCTCCCTCCCTTTGTTCTTCTTAGGAGCCAAGGTGGCGCAGTGGTTAAATGCAGCACTGCA